CTAACGAAACAACACTAGTTATCTATAGATTACATAGTAATGTAGATAACTTCACTCCTAAGGGAACATTTGATTTTTCGTATGTTTTTTTTTGTATTTATTAATAATAATAATGTTTAAACAGTCTTAGATCTTTGGCTTTCAGACAAGTCGTCTGATCTGTCCATATACAGAGTGTGTCTTGTGACATTTTGACCGAGTGTAAATACGTATTGCGGATGGTGCTGGTAAAATCACTTGCTCTTATAGACGAATCTTTTGGAGAAATACCCCATTGATTTCCCCCTATTAGTCCTTGTTAAATTGGCATTTTTCCGAAGATTGTGCAGAATTTATCTTTGTTTCAAATAAAGAAAAACTTGGCATAAGTAAAGATTTATCATGTCCAGTACTACATTGAAAATTTAACATAATAAGATTGCATATAAGATAATAACCATCACCGAAAGTAAACCAATCCAATTTTCTCCCCTTTCTTTCTTGTTAACAATTGCAAGCTTTAGCAACCATGTCACTTGAAGTTTCCAAAATATATGATAGGAATAGCAAATAAAAAAAGAATGGTGCTTTGAAACACCGAATATATATATTTGTGACTTAGAATTTTTTTGCTGCAATGAAATAGTGGATTAATTTCCTACAACTGTCAAATTCAAGGGAATATTTTTTTCAACCCTTTTTCGTATGAAATCGAATGTTATGTAGTGATTTGGTGGTATTTGCCAAAGCATTGTCATTTTTGTTTTACTTATGAGTTTTGATTGACCCTTTCTTTTTTTAAAATATCTCCAAAATCTTCCGAAAAAAATTAACGAAGTTCCAATATATAAAACTTTGAAGTGGTAGGCTACATACGAGAGGAGCTTTCCTATGTCTGTCTAATAGTTCAACGTGCATAAGCCATTGCCGCCACATCGGTACATTACAACATAAAAAGACACGCAATCAAATATCAATTGAAATGGCTTAACTCGATCAAAAAGACATGTATACAAAAACAAGTAAATATACACTGAACGAATAAGTTTGATCTATGACACAATATAAATACAATATAAATAAAAAAGATATATCAATGTCAAAAAGAAAACTTTAACCTAGGAAAAAAATGGGGTTAAATAAAGTAACGTACACAGGTAAATTTAAATACAATAATTTTCTTGTAAGGAGTACAGAAACATTTTTTACAAAATAAATTGGTTGTTCACAGTACGAGTACAGAAGTGAACATTTAGTGTCATACTAAATACTTATCAATGGTGGTTCATATTAAGACGAAATATATAACACTAAGACGAGATATAACACAAAATAAGTAAACATTGAATACGATTTTGAGTGAGTAATAAACATGTTTTTAGCACTTTTGAAAGGAGATACAACATGATTGTTCATAGAACCATTCAGGGTTTTAACTACTAGTTTTGAAGTATGAACGACCTAATAAGCCAATCCCTAATTCAGTTCGAGTATCTACGATTTCGCTTTCATTTTACACTTCCACTTCTGTCTTCCACTATCATCAATGGAATCCATTGATTGTTTGAATTATTGTTTTTTTTTTTTTGGGGGGGGGGGGGGGGGGTAACACATTTTGTAAATATCGATCGTTGTAACGGGAGTAGCTTTTGGCAATTAATGTCTATTCAGTAATGCTCGAGACCAAAAATATTTGAAAAACAATTAAATAAAAGACATCATACATACTTTGAAGCTCTGATAAAACTTAAAAAGACCCAAAGTAAAGCCAAGCCTTGCCAAGAAATCAGAGCTATGTATGAGGGAGATACATTCTTTAACAACAAATTTCAATGAACAATATCCGTATTTCCATGCACGTATCGAAGTAGGGCTACAGGGCAAGTAATATCCTCGGGGACTAACAGTCCACAAGCAGTTGTATCGACCCAGTAATAATAAGATGTACGGTGTTATCGAAATTGTCAATAATGAGTACACGTGTTTGTAGTTATTGAAAATGAATATGGTACAGGTAGGTATGATAACTATAAAAGAGACTGAAGCTTTTACCAAAGATTTATTAACACATTTCGTAAAAGTCGATTTAGGTGAAAGATTTGATTGGGTCGGATAATTCTCTTTGGCCTTTTTCTGTTATAGTTTGAAATCCATTTTTCCTGTTTTGGACGTTTAAATATTTTGACCTCGGTTATCACATCGATACATTATTCGAAATGCTCACCTGATGAAGTAAACTGTTACCATTAATATTATTTAGATAAAGAGAATGCATGCAATAAAAGGACCTATGTAAGCATAACATTGTTTATAATGACTAGAATGAGAATTTGTTACACGGATTTCAACATTTTTTGGCCTTTTTCTGTTATAGTTTGAAATACATTTTTCCTGTTTTGGACGTTTAAATATTTTGATCTCACATCGATACATTATTCGAAATGCTCACCTGATGAAGTAAACTGTTACCGTTAATATTATTTAAATATTGCAATGAAAGGACCTATGTCAGCATAAAATTGTTTATAATGACTAGAATGGGAATTTAATTTGTTACACGGATTTCAACATTTGTTTTTGTACTTTGACGCTTGACTTCTTGTTCTTGTGTACAATTGTTTACTGTTAATTTCTATTAAGCAACAGTCCACCGTCATGCATATGGAGTATTTTTGTTTATAGTTGATACTATATTCAAGGGGTTTCCTATCATGTAATATTTATGTGATAGAGGGTCGCTTACAAGAAAGAAATTATACAAAAGATTCTTAATAGGAAAATTAATTCAATCCTTCGAAAACTGTACAGGCGCTATCACATTTTTGTTGACTATTATTGAAAATCTTTTTCACGACAATGTTTCTACGTACCTAACGGGAACGGTTATTGCCAACCTACGTATTTTGTTTAATTCGTCGCTCAAGTTTAAACAAAACATATTAAGAATTCTAAATTCATTCACTGGATTTTTTTTCTATATCAAATAATTTTAAAATGATGAAAAATGATAGAATTCTTGCATTTTTATTTATCACGAGGTTATCCAGATTCTTTATTTTCACTGATATAAGATCACGTATGAACACATATTCCTTACCTATCATAAGATCGACTTAATTTATCTTTCATGGTTAAGATTATGACAATTATTTTTCAATATACTTTGCAGATGAACGTTCTATAATTTTATTTCTTTTTTCGATGTTTTTTCTTTTATTATCTATCTTTCTATTTATTTATATTTTTTGTGGGAAAATATATTTTAGAAAGTTATTTGTCTGGCAATCTCAGAAATGTCGAAATAAGTGTTTTCAGAATTCGTCTCTTGATAAAAGTTGAAAATGGAGATAAAACTATCGCTTGCAATTCATTTCTAAATAAAAGTATTTTCCATTCATTAAACATTGATAGATACACAAAATTCCCTATATAGGTTGTATTTTAGCAGTGGGCTCGATTAAGGATTGTTCTGTGCTGTTTTGTCCAACGGGAATGGCAGTTTAAAAAGACATTGCCAGGCAATATATTTTATTTCCCTTGCAGTACATTAATTTATAGCATTTATCCATTTTAACTATAAACCAAATTTGTTTTACTGTATAAATTATTGAAGTGTTTGTGTCATAAGAAAGATACATAAAAGACAATAAGATAATAATATTTTTATGCGCATTGCAGTCAAAACGGCACGCTATATTTTTCCTTTACAATGTTTTTATTCCTAATGCAATGTAGAATATAACGACTTTGCACTACGCTAAATTATAAGTATCAATAGGATGTAGGACCATAAGCGTTCATTGCATATGTAGTTTGAATACGCATATTCAGGGCGAGATGATGAATATGAACCCGACCTCGTACTAGACCGACACGCTGATCCAAATTTTGTAACGTGTTAGTTCATTGCTAGGTAATTGTCCGCAGGAAGACATGTCACCCTTACCGGACACACTATTTTGACTCTGGGCCGATCAATCTTTGATCTAACTTCTAGATATAGCGTGCTTAGCAGAAAGGCAGTCAATCTTTGATCTGAACCACTAGAAGATCGACTTCATGCCCTCCCACACTCGAGCAGTGGCGTAGCTTTCATTGAAGTAATGAGGCAACTTCCATGGCAAAAAAAAAGAGAGATACAGAAAAAATATATGACGTGTATTTCAAAGTATATAGAACAAGAGGGTGTAGACGGTCTTAAACGTTGACTTCTTTACCCTTTACACACTCATTCCTCATTATTAACTTAAAAAAATATAAGTCAAACTTTCTTTCAATAATATGAACACTGTAGATACAACTTTTTTGTTTCTGGAACGGACAAAGTATACCTTATAATAAAAAACTGATTACAAAAAGAGGTCATAACTGTGAAACTGACATGCTTGATTTTTCTTTAAAACAAACTTGTTACTTTTGGTTGACGCAGTTTTGAACAGACTCTTGGCATACCTATGTGACAAACTGTGCCCCTCTTCCCACTTACATGTACCTTGGTTAATATAAGCCAATCATCACAGTTTTCCCAGCTATTATAAGTCATGTATCTTGTCAAAATCAAATTAACGTTTAAATTTAGCATTTTAGAGGAGGTCATGCAGTGTCATTTATTATTGATTTGACAAGACCTGTCTGTAATTGAATTTTTCAGTCTTAATTTTCTCTTTTACAGCAGTGACGATCGACATGAATTATGTTGCTAAGGAAGCAAAACAATCCATGGATGCGTGTAATGTCCCATCTTGATCATCCGGTGGAAACAGTGTGTATGTAATAGTTACAGAGGAATGGCAGTATCACAGCTAGGGAATAACACCTTCATTTTTCCTGAATGAAAACTTACTGGAAAACGATAAAGGGTTAAAATCATCAAGCGCAATGATATTCTATTTATAAAAAAATTATCATCATAAACATTATTGTTCATACGTTTTTTAAAAGATATCTAAAAAAATATAACAAAATACCGAACTCCAATCTCAATTCTAAAAGGGACAAGTCCATAGGAAATGACAAAATCAAACGTTAGATTCATTTATTCAAATAAATTACAAAATGTATGTTGATATTTAAACTGTATCTGTAAGTCATTGTCATTGATACCCACATCAGTTTTAAAGTATCGAAGTAGTTCGCAAGTATGGAAATATCGAGTTTTGATCTGCATTTAAATGTCTGTCCTGTTGTTTCAATCATTCCCTAACTGTTTCATAAATGTACTGTTGCTCACGTCTCTCTGAACGTTCAACGCATTGCTCATAACTTTTAGCCTGAAAGAAGAAGATTGACATTAATACGGAAGACAGTTATTTTCAAATTTAAATGCATCATAACGGTTATTCATATTAATCATTTAGATCTTTATACCTGGGAAGCTTTATTACTACATTCTTACACACCACATATCATTGTTTATTAATTTTATATAGATAATATTGCAAAATATTTTACATTGTTGACAGGGCCCTTTTTCAAATGGTATGTATTTGAGCTAGACAGATATTCATAGATCACATATACACTCAATTGTCTCGAAAAAAAACATTACCAGAAATAATGCTCTTCAAACTCCAATAGAGACATAACAGGTCTACATTTGACATATGATAACAAGAGGCTGTCAGATTGACAGCAAACCGGATTTTCCTGCATGAAAATGATATGTGCAAATATCCAAAACAGGATCAAGAAAAAAAAAATGAATCACTTCACGCTAACGTAAAGGTCTATTTCTCATTAACGATAGAAGCTAAAATCGTGAAATTCGAAGTTAACCTTCTTTTAGTCACAAGACACAACATATCTTATTAAAAAAATAAATGGTCAAAGAGTTTTCAAGTTATTACACGGACAACGCTCTAAGTACCACTTTTCGCTACATAAAGGTCAACAACTCAACAACGATAAATACCGATGTCTTTTAGGTTGCACTTTGTAAATACAGCTGCTTCACAAACCACGCCTCTTTTGGGAGATATATAATATTCATAGATATTTTGTTTTGTTTACCTACTGGTCCCGGATATGATCTTTATACTTCATAACTTGGGAATGGTACCAGTATAAATGCACATGGATAGCGGCTAAATTGAATTCTGAGGAAGACCCAAAGTGAAGGGAGGGGCAGTTCAGAATTTTAGTATAAATTTAAAGTCTTAGAAGTTCGGGTCATATAAATGTTGAAAATATGCCACACAGCCCTATATTTTGACAATTGAAAATAATAGTAGTGCATATGAGCTTTCCATTCTAGGATTTACGAAACTTCAAAGTAACAGTTTTAGCCGTAAAAGGAGTTCCTATGGGAAATTGCATTGTCTGCATTTACAGAAGTGCAACCTATACAGACAAATTGACAAAACTTTCTGCAATGAGACAGTAAATCCAAAACTGTATAAAATAATATTTAAAAAAGTTAATCCGTTTCATTTGCAATTAAATACTAGCATTCATGCACAACAACTTGCAAATCTACATATGAGTAATACCAAGTTGTTGACGCATTTACATACGTCACTTTTCCGATTCATACTTTTTCTTTTATCAAAAAAAAAAAAAAAAAAAATCTATTATTTAATGTTGATTGTGGGAGAAAATGTACAGACCATAACATATACCAAATCAGGAATATGTTTTTCCGAAAATTGAAACAAAACAATCAATGGATAGAAGTACTTATATTTATTTCAATCTGTAAAGGCTAGATTTCCGTATTTCGGCTGAAAGAAGAATGTATTAAAAGGAAGTTATCTATTTCAATTTCATAAGTTTGCAATCTGATTTAAATCAGAGTTTTCACTTTGCTTCTTTAAATATGTTTGTCCCGGCGTTTAGGATCCAAAAGAAATTTCATAAGGGTCATGTATGGATAACCTTTATACAAATTGTAATCGATCAATCATTTCTAATGACACACATACACTTTGATAACAATATGACCACGCTCACATAGATTGAATCAATTGAATCAAAAGTACATCCTTATGTTGATTAAATATTTTATCGCCCTATAATTTAGGAAAAAAAAACAATGAAACTTTACTGCTTAATTGATTTTTTTAAAATCAGATGTCAAGAAATTTGATGGTAATAAAGTATAATATCCGGCCTGTATTCGGAAATATTTAGCAGGGAAAGATTTGACAAATTGCTAAAGGAGCACTGAATTTGACCCCTTATTGGATATCAGATCTTACACAAGTGATAAACAAATCTAACAGACTAAAGTGAAAAGATTCGATTTTAATAAGATTAATACGATCGCACATATTTAATATGTGCGATCGTATTAAAAAAAATTACGATGTTTCAATCAACGTAGCCTATTTACATTGTATTTGAGATTTTTTAACATATCTTTTTTTCTTCCTTTTTTTCGAATTAATTTAACGCTTTTATTTGAGTAAATGTTTTGGTTTTTTTTCTTTGTCTGCTTATCACTTTAATCATTATTCAAATTTTATTACTACTTCTATTTCACTATTATTATTTGTTTATATATATGTTTGTTGTTTTTATATTTTTTTTTTCGGAATTTTTAAATCTTTTTTGTTCTTTTTTGAATGTGAAATTAAATTTTCTTTAACCAAAAATAAATATAACAAGACAACAATAATGCATAAAACTCAAATGTTTCGTCCTATCCCTCCTTTTTCGAAGGGTTTAATCTATACTCAACAAAAAAAAAAAAAAAAAAAAAAAACGCACCCTTCATTTATTCCTTTGGAGTTATACTGCCTATTGCATATAACTTTTTTAAAATGATCAAAGCATATGTAAAATGAGACAAAATTTTGACACAACGTTTATTAAATCACGAACACCAAATTCTGTAACATGGGTATTTTCTTTATTTTATTATTTGACATAAAAAAAAACCCCATTTTTAACCAAAAAAACAAAAAAAATGTTTCTAAAATTTTTGAAAAATAAAGTCGTGTGTATTTTTTTGCGTGAAACAATAAAAATGACTGATTTTCAGCATCTTTATCGAATTCTTGTCTAATAACCAATTTTAAACTGACTAATATCAGACTTTTGATTTTTAATATTGAATATGAAAACTCTATTGTCGCCACTAAAATGAAAATTGTTTCCGTAATACCAAATTGATTTCAAGGTTATGCTTAAGATGTAATAGATTTCTACTAATTTGTAACAAAAAGAAGAAATTGTGAAACTTCTCTGTGTGGTATGATGTAGTGCATTATTTGGGTTGTTAAGTATAAAACAAAAAGTGTTTTGTAAAGAACCCTATTTTTGTCTTTCGGATTATATTAAAAAAAGAATTCCAAAAGGATTAACAACTATACCTTTTTCTGTAAATGAGGACACTTCCTTGCTTTTTTCATGCCACATATTTCAAGATCAACATAATTAATGCAGAAATCTACAAAATAAAAGAAATGTATCCCGTGAAAAAAAGCAGATCACAAGCTTGAAACCATGAATGAAGCAACATATAATAAAACAAATAAAAATTATGTTTTTTTTTTATCGAATCCCTCTTCAGTTTGCGACAGAATGATTAAAAATGACACAGTGATTGAATTTGACTATCTTGTTTTTGTATAGATCATAAAATATATTCCCCTTTCTTAAAATAACTGTTTGACTATAAATAGTTTCTACCCATCATAAATGAAATTACCCTATTTGTGTTTTTATATATGTGTAATAGACTGTACAATCAATAAACTACCAGTATAGTGAACTTGTACCTGTACACCGTCGATATTGTTCTCGTGGTGTCAATAGATTTTACAAAACGCGTTATCTATATACTACATAAATTTGTTCATCTCAAAATGTTATAAAATAGTCATTGAATAATGCTATTAAAAATACTTAAAATACTAAGCTGGTCATTAATCGAAATCTTAAGAATAATATATATATATATATATATATATATATATATATATGGAGAGAGTATTTTAGAATTTTTAAGAATATTTGGACGACGTCACCAATATTTATTGGTAAGAAAACGGTACATCTATATGACTAATGAAATAAGAGAATTCAGTCGAGGAAAAAATGTCAAACTATAAGTGTTGTAAAATTAAATGCACATCTTCCTTGCATACCTATGGCTTCAATTAAGCGTATATCTTTTATAAATATATATTTAAAGATTATTATCATGGGCTTTCATATTTTATTGTAAAAAATACTTATATATGTGAGTTGATATATGTTGTAAAGCGCTTAGGGTAATTTTCATATCATATAATCCGCTGTTATAAATACTGTATAATAAATAATAATAATAATTGATAAATTATAATATTCACTCAGAGTTAGAGTTGCATGGTATCTCCTAGGTAAAACAATAATTTTAGAAACTGTGGTAATTTTATTGTTTTCCTTTGTGTATTTCCTATTTATTCGCCCTTATTAAAAACTGTTGTATTTGTTTATCAACGAAAATTGCCATAAAAATTAGTTCGTAAATTAATGAACAATTTAAATACGGACATTTATTTTTACTATTCAATCATATATTTCAACACATTTCATCGAGTGATCCCCCACTTCATCACAAAGTTTATTATCGTTTGTATTTTTCGTCCTTTTATTTTAGTAGGTGAGGACCAAGACCTTAAAATTTAACTCTAAAATGAAAACAAGCCTTTAAGAATTTGGTTCAAACCCGAAACTTGCATGTAGTAGCCATGCTTTCTGGATATGTGTTTGATCAATTTGTTCTTTTAGTCACACTGTTGCTTGTAGATACGAACACCGCTTTTTCGATAAATGTTAACTGTTCAGATAAATCTGGAAATTACAATGTATGCTTTGGAAAATATAAAGAATAATTTTCAAAAAAGTCGTTAAAGTAAATGACACAATTTTCAATTTAAAAATTTCGCTTTTTTCCTCTTTTAAACATTGTGTCTATTTGTTGTGTGTAATTGTTTTGCGTTGTTTTGAATAAATTTCTTTTTGATACATTTGGTGTTATAATTGACATCAACCGTTCTACTGTGCAAATATGCATATATCATAATATATATTGTTGTCACAATTACTAATCACTAGATTTATATTATTTTCTAAATATTCCAACAGTTAATAAAATGTAAATGTTGCATATATTGATATATTTTTTTTAACGGCACATTAAAACAATTTCCTATTGTATAATTCTGAAATGACTTTTTTAATTTTGTTTAATCTCTACAATGTTTAAATTCGTTGCAATTCGCAAGAACCTCATGGATAATTTACTGTAGAGCTAACCGATATTTTTTATTCTTATTATTATCAAAATTATAATAATTATTATTATTATTATTATTATTATTATTATTATTATTATTATTATAATTATTATTATTATAATTATTATTATTATTATTATAACAAATAAAATCTAGTCTTTATATTTAAACACTCTGAAGAAAAAATACTCACCACATTGTGCCATGCTTTGAGAGACCAGTTGAAAAACAGCAAATATCAAGATTCCTGTCGGTAATAACTTCATTTTGTAGATAAAGCAAGCTGAGAGTTAAAACTATTTGCGAGCATTTTAGTTATATAGCTTTCAATCAACCTACATAAAGTTAGAAAAATGTTGGAGAAAAGGACATCTGACTTTCCTGCCTCAAAAATGTACACTCCTTTTGAATTAGTATTTTACTTTTCGTTTGGATAGGTACACTTTCCATGACTATTTTAGCTGTGCAAAAACAACTGTATATGCTTTGGATTTTCCAAACAAGGAATGTAGTAGGTACCGGATTAAACTAGGAGCACGAATCATCAACAATGAAACATGTTGTTAAACAATTTCACAAAGGACGATGTTTGAACGTTTTAACCGCAAATCTTCCTAATGATATCGGAACTCCTTTTATTTGCTTGTTTCTGAATATAAAATGAATATAACTTAACCAAAACAAGACTGGTATCTTTTATGAGTTTTTTCAACCTTCAATACGTACATTTTATTAACATTTCAAATTGTAGTCAGGTAAACAAAAAATGTAAATATGAAAAAATCGACATCGCTTATAAATAGTTATTATATGAATGTCAACTTTAAATGATTAGCGTAAGTAGTACTAAAAAAGTATTCTTTTGTTATATATCAAATTGCACAAAAAGCGATGAAGTTCAACATTTGATAAAACACACTATTACTTATATCGTGAAAGGAGTGACAAAGATAAAATGTTGAATATCGTTATATTACTATTTGTATTTTTGGTAAAAACAACTCATAATGAATTGTAGGAAAAGATCGTATTTCATTTTCCTTTTTTCTTTATAGTATTTGATACTGCATGTACAATGCTTTATCTATATTTGATTGTCGGCGTATGTAATTTGTTTGCGTTATGTTGCTTTACTTTCGATCAAAATCAAATATATTTTAAATCACTTAACAATGAAAGCAAAATATAAATTATGAGCTAGTCACGTTTTAAACCGAGATCAAAAGTTGACATCGGCCTGTTTAATCCTTCGAAATCTCCTCCAGATTATACAATTTTCCCTCTTTTTGTTAATATTTTGATAAAAAAAAAAACATTTGTTCTCAGAGCGTTCCATTAGAAAAGAAGTTATAGATAAGCTTGTCTTCCGAGGAATCATACAGAAAGTCAATATTTGTTTCTATTTTAAAGTCTGAAATGTCTTGAAAACAGGTTTTTTCTGAGCATTAATATTCCTGTTGGAATATAACCGTGAAAAATGTCTTCTAAATGATTCCTACGTTTTGTGTTGTCTGTTTTACTTGAACTTATATATCACGATTTCCCCTTTTGGTATTATTTGCACTATTTTAATCCAAAGTCTTACAACGATCTTTGACGAAACAAAATGTTTGTCTCAAATATTCGAAAATAAACGTCCAATGATGAACAAACTACAATTCGAAAATAATCACACAAAAACTAAAGATGAAGTAAGCAGCAAGAACATCACCAAAATCTAAAGATTGTGAGAACAAGAACACCACAAAAATCTAAAGATTGTGAGAAACAAGAACACCACCAAAATCTAAAGATTGTGAGAAACAAGAACACCACCAAAATCTAAAGATTGTGAGAAACAAGAACACCACCAAAATCTAAAGATTGTGAGAAACAAGAACACCACCAAAATCTAAAGATTGTGAGAAACAAGAACACCACAAAAAAAGAAACATTAAGCAACAAAAATACCACAAAAAAAAAGAAACATTTAGCAACAAAAACACCACCCCAAATAAAAAATCGAACAACAAAAACATCATTAAAAATTAAAGATTGAGCAGCAAAAACAACACAAAAAACGTAAGATTGAGCTGCAAGAACACCATTTAAAACTAAAAAAAGTGCAGTAAGAACACCACAATAAACTTTAAAAAATGAGCTGCAAGAATACCAACAAAAACTTAAGATTGAGCAGCAAGAACAACAGAATAAAAAAACAAAGATTGAACAGCAAAAACAACCCCAAAAACTAAAGATTGGTATAGAGTTTTACCTCAAGATCATGCTTCGCAATAGTTTATTTTTGTTGAAATGATAAGTAATAAAATTCAAACAATTTTCAAAGTTTCCAACGTTACATGGTAATTGTTCTATGTTTTAAATTTTATGTCACCTAGGAGATAATCTTGACCATTGGATATGTTCCAATTGTCGTAACCAGAATTCCATTTTTTCCCCTCGAATATGACATATATTATGACTTATAAACGTATTTGTACTAACTATGAAAAACTATACGGGTGTCACTAGTAGAGCACAATCTGCTTCCCTTTCCTGGAGCACCTGAGATCATCTAAATTTTTGCTTTGGCTCGTGTTCCTCAGTTTTTAGTTTTCAAAGTAGAGTTTTGTGAACTGTTGTTTGTCTTTTCGTCGTTCTGTGGTCGTAAAAAGGATCTAAATTCGGACCTCATGTTTGATATTTATATAAATACTCTGCAAAATAAGAAAAAGTCATAGATTAAAAGATTGAAGAAGTTACTTCTTCAATCTTTTAATCTATGACTTTTTCTTATTTTGCAGAGTATTTATATAAATATTAAACATGAGGTCCGAATTTAGATCCTTTTTATTTGTCTTTAGTTTTCTATTTAGTGTTTTGTAGACAGTTATTTGTCTTTTCTTCTTTTCTCCACATTCCGCTTAATAAATGGTGTCCTCTCACTAAAAAAATCAGAGTTTGGTGACTTTGTTGAACACATCTTTACCATTGAACTTAAGAAAGTAAGATACTAGAACACTACCAGTGTCTTCCTTTTCTTGATTGTAACAACATAGAATGAGACTTATCACCAAAATTGTACATACCACGAGCAACATGCCGGGTACTTCAAAACAGGAACAGGATTGTCCTGCCCCTTCCGGAGCATCCGAGATCACTCCGACATTTGGTAGGGTTTGAATTGCTCAGTCTTGACTTTTCTATGTAACGTTTAACCGTTGTTTGTCTTTTGTCGTTTTTCTTTGTATGCAATGGTATTGTCCCTTTTTTTTTATTCTGTCTAGTTTTTAATTATTCTTATATGATTCCCAGTTCTACTAAAATAAGATTGTGGTCAGAACTGAATATATAATTTAATGAGAGGTAAAGTAACTATAGTAGTCCTATTCCGTATCACGTAATTAAAGTTAAACCAGTTATCATAAAATAACATAAAATATTGGGAAAATTTACCTATAAAATTAAACAATAAAATGGATAGCACATAATATTATGGATTCACAAAATAACATTGTGTTTACATTCTTTGTTGAAGACCCTACATCAACTGTCAAGATGAAGATCAGGAATAAAAGCCCTGTTCATTGATTATTTTCTATGTTTTCTATGTATTGTGTGCGATTTTTTTCCCATGTACATTTACTCCATATCCTTTCATTTTCTATTTACAAAAAGTCGATCCCTTTTCCCCATATCACATGAATACATCCGATCTTAATATTGTTGAAATTTCTATACTATATTGAATTTCATGGTTATTTAACCTCTCAATCTAAGTATAAATTTTTCAAAAGAGAATACATTTATCAACTTTATATTATACCTTAGGTCAACCGCAACTTAAATGGCAAGTAATCAAACATTCATAAATACTAGCTCAGACTATCAAGACTTATCCAAGGTATTTCAAGTACTTTTATAAGTTTGTTTAAAAAAATTATTAAGTAAAAAATCTAATCTGTGTTATCAGATTATTACATGGCATTTTTCATATCAGATGTATTATCAGCCCAAGGTTCAATATGAGCCCAAGAGCCGAACGCTTGAGGGCTGATATTGACCGAGGGCTGATAATACATCTAATATGAAAAATGACATGTTATGATCTTTTTATCATATGCTTCAACAATGGAGAAAAATAACAGTTTAATATATTGATCCTTTTAAGTGGTTCTCAAGTTTACGGACGTCCGACGCCAAATGTAATACACCCGATATGAAATCTTTCTATCATATGCCTCAACAGAGGAGAAAAACAACAGCATAATATCTTTTTATAGTGACGATAAATATAAAATCAACAAAACATAATAAACTCTGTTTGGAAAAGTCAAAATTTGTAAAGTAACTTTCTAAATTATGCTGGAAACTTTGATTTTTTGCATCTTTCATAATATATTTTTCCTTTTCCTTTCCTAATAATTGTTTTGTACTCTACTTGTTATGTTTTTCACTGAAAACGTACCATTGAGGTGTATTTTCCGGAATTTGCCGAGTAACGCCGGAATGCCATGCGATACGATAACGTTACGGAAAGGCATGTGATAATAGCTGAGGCATGTGATAGATTTTTCATATCAGCCCGTTACACACCATTTCGGAAAATATGTAATTCACGGAAATTTAATGCTATTATCATACAGTAAAATTTATGAATTATTTACTCTAAGTATATGATAAATATAGATTATTACATGGCATTTTTCATATCAGACCCTTTATCGGCCCTAGGTCATGATATCAGCCCAAGAGCCGCAGGCTCGAGGGATGATATCATGAACGAGGGCCGATAAAGGGTCTGATATGAAAAATGACATGTAATTATCTTTTTATCATATACTTCAGCAGAAGAAATACAGACAAGAACTATTAAATTTTTGTCTTTCAACTTTTTAACTTTTAGATAATACATATAATTTACAGACAACCAAATACAATTTTCTTAACTTTAATTGTTTTTATTGAAATTACAATCATTTTATCTATCTTGTCACAACAATTATCATGTTCTTAGTTTGAAAAATTTATTGTCACCTTTCTTGTGATGGTTGCCCCCGAAAACATTTGCATAGTTTTTCCTTTAAATTGTAATGGACAATTTCTGGCATCTCATTTATGTCCTTTAAAACATGTTTAATCTTAATTCATTTTTGCTCCTCAGCCATTTTGTAAAAAGTCTTAAATCACTTGTAGTTTTCCGCACTGTGTTGTTGTTTTCAAACAAATTTCCGGAAATGCACGAAGTTACATGTGAAAAACGTCACGGACATTAACGGAAAGGCATGTGATAACATTCCGGAAGCAGTCAATAAAGGTTCGTTTATCAGCCCGCCGAGGAAATTCTTAGGAATCTGGTCAATAAACATAGTAATCCTTTCATAGCCTTTTAATAGTTTTAAATGTTATTGAACAGTAAAATTAAAGGAATATTTTATACAAGTATATGATAAATTTATTTCTTAAATTCAACTGCTTTGACGTATATATATTTAATGTAGAATGACGGATTCAACCCTAAGATGTTCAGAGATATCAACGAAAGTTTTTTTTTACTTTTAAGATATTAAATACATTATCATTAATTTTATAATACTTGTTTAGTAACTAATCGTCATTTTTCATGACGGTTGTGATAATTTACTGTTGTCTGACACCAGCGCGTTGTTTATATCTATCGGAAAATGGTTTGAAACCATAGTTTACAGTGGGTGTTAGATTGACTAGGATATGATCGCAGGCTTCATTTTTCGAGCTCAGGGTACATCGAGGTTCAAATTATATAAACTTTTAACTGAATG